AACAAGACCAAACCACTGTGGACCCGTAACCCAGACGACATCACCAACGAGGAGTACGGAGAGTTCTACAAGAGCCTCACCAACGACTGGGAGGACCACCTGGCTGTCAAGGTGAGTCTCTTCATATTTTTTGGTTGTTAGTATTGGATATTTTAAAGGTCTTCTAGCAATAACTGCTTCAACCTGTTTTTCTCACAGCACTTTTCAGTAGAGGGTCAGCTGGAATTCCGCGCCCTCCTCTTTGTGCCTCGTCGCGCTCCCTTTGACCTCTTTGAGAACAAGAAGAAGAAGAACAATATTAAGCTATACGTACGCAGGGTCTTCATCATGGACAACTGCGATGAGCTCATCCCTGAATATCTCAGTGAGTGTTGGTCCAAGTGTGGACATCTCTTATCAGCTCATATGATTATGAATAACAAATATATAATCTGAGAAATGAGCATATATCCTTGACCAAGTTGTTTTTATCCATTCGTTCAGATTTCATCAAGGGTGTGGTGGACTCTGAGGATCTGCCCCTGAACATCTCCAGAGAGATGCTGCAGCAGAGCAAGATCCTGAAGGTCATCCGCAAGAACCTGGTCAAGAAGTGCCTGGAACTTTTCACAGAGCTGGCAGAAGACAAGGACAACTACAAGAAGTACTACGAGCAGTTTTCAAAGAACATCAAGGTCAGTGTGCGCAACCCTGCACTGTGGCATTGAAACTTTTGGCAGCCACCTTGCCTTAAACCCTTGAAATCTAGCAGGATGGATCTTAGAAATTAGCTTAAAGTGTAAAGCTTAGCAAGAACTAATAAGTTTTAGCTAATGACTACCTTTATACCACTGACCTTTTTGCTCAGTAGCCATCTGTCTGATCCTCTGGCCATGTTGTCCCAATGTAAAGCAGCTTTAAGCCTCCAGTAGAGCTCCTTACTGCCATCTTTCTTTAAATCCAGACACTCTGGCTGTTACAACTAATGGGGCTGCTATTAGTTTTTACATATTATAGCCCATCAAAAAAGTAGTAAAGACAATGATGGGAAAATAAAGCAAGTACAGAAATAATATGTCACCTGACTGTTTACATGTTTTCCACGTTTCAGCTTGGTATCCATGAGGACTCCCAGAACAGAAAGAAGCTGTCTGAGCTGCTGCGATATTACACCTCAGCTTCTGGGGATGAGATGGTTTCCCTGAAGGACTACGTCACACGTATGAAGGACAACCAGAAGCACATCTACTACATCACCGGTGAGGATCCTTTTTCATCCTAATCATCCAAAAGCACCATAACTTGCGTGGGATGACTCATTTAATGTGCTGCTAAATATTAACGTGAATGTCCATGTTTGTGTTTCAGGTGAAACGAAAGACCAGGTGGCCAACTCCGCCTTCGTAGAGCGCCTTCGCAAAGCCGGCCTGGAGGTCATCTACATGATCGAGCCCATTGATGAGTACTGTGTGCAGCAGCTGAAGGAGTTTGAAGGCAAGAACCTGGTTTCAGTGACAAAGGAAGGTCTGGAATTGCCAGAGGATGAGGAAGAGAAGAAGAAGCAGGAGGAGAAGAAGGCTCAGTTCGAGAACCTCTGCAAGATCATGAAGGATATTTTGGAGAAGAAAGTGGAGAAGGTGAGCAGATAAAATAACTGAACAGCATCAAAACAACTCAAGATAAGATGTATTGTTACATTTTGTGTGTGTCACAGATTAACAACAGTATGAATAATTCTCTTTCACCTCTTCAGGTTACTGTTTCAAACCGCCTAGTCTCTTCCCCCTGCTGCATCGTCACCAGCACCTACGGCTGGACGGCCAACATGGAGAGGATCATGAAGGCCCAGGCGCTGAGGGACAACTCCACCATGGGCTACATGGCAGCTAAAAAACACCTTGAGATCAATCCCGACCACCCCATTGTGGAAACTCTGAGGCAGAAGGCAGAAGCTGACAAGAACGACAAGTCCGTGAAGGATCTGGTCATCCTCCTGTTCGAGACCGCCCTGCTGTCCTCAGGATTCACCCTGGACGACCCCCAGACACACTCTAACCGCATCTACAGAATGATCAAACTGGGTCTCGGTGAGTGTCTGGATTCATTGTCACACGATGAAGCTGCTTCTCTCATCTCATTCATGAAATCTAGTTTATTGTCCTCCAATAAAATGACTTCACTGACTCCTGCTGTGCTTCTTTCCTCCTCCAGGTATCGATGAAGATGATCTGACATCAGACGACACCACCTCAGCTCCCACTGAGGACATGCCTCCTCTTGAAGGGGATGATGACGACACATCCAGGATGGAGGAGGTGGACTAAACCTGCTTCTACTTCCTGCTAGTGTTCAGAAGTAGTGTTCTATACAATTTCAAGTTAAATGTTGTAAATGAGCCTGGAACGTCCTGCCTCTTCCCCGTTTAAACACCCTTTTTGACCAAGATCAGTTTATTTGCAGTTGCATTGACCATATGCAGTTCAGACTCATTCCTTCTAGGACTTTATTTTTCAAGTTGTTGCATTTTGTATCTTGAGTTGTATCGATGCATTTGTTTTTGTATTTATTGACATTCCAAAGGTTGTGTGTGTTCTTACTTTAACTGTAAATAATATCAAAATTGATACTGTAATTTGAAACGGTGGGATCCATAAAATAAAGATTTACCATGTTAACAAGTAACATTTTGGTCAGTTTTACTGATGGATGAAGTCACTTCTTGACCTTCATGCGGTTTGGTTGCGCTGCAGTATTTGTTTGCTGCATTTGAAGGGTGAAATGAAGGAGAAACAAGCAGAAACAAGTCTAAATCTGATCAAGTCTGTCAAAGCAGAGTAAAATCTGTACTGTGTGTATCGAATATGATGACTTACTGTATAAATATAGAGTTCTAGATACTTGTACGTCACTATTTTAATTCCATGCTACTTTCTAATACGACTCAGTGGGAAATGTTGTGTTTTCTCCTCTACTTTAGTTCCATATCAGCAAAGCAAGACTTCTAAACCCTACCGTCATATAAGCCACCTGACAGTATACAACATTAGTCCAATTAGCTCTTCCTAAGTTAGCTACCATCATTTATAGCTGCTTTGTGTTATACCGCTAAAAAATAGTCCAATGAATATTTTAACACTTTGCATATGTTTTGCTAAGAGTTCATACTTTTACTTAAAAAGATTTGGAATTCAGGCTTTCCTGCTTCCTAGTATTTTTAAATTGTAGTGCTACTTTTACTGAAGCAAAACATCTGAATGCTTCTTCCTCCACTGACAGCAGGTGACAAATACTAAGACTGAAGGATCTATGAAGTTCCTTTCTGTGGCACAACAGTTGAATCCACAACATGAACAAATGCATGGCGTCAGAATGAAGGACAATAAAGATGAAGAGACACATGCTTCTTCCTGTGGGCCCAACTTCAATTCATCTCACACTGAACATATGAACAAGGACTGTTGGTATTTTCTCAGACTGTAGCCGTAGTCACGCAGATCTTCTGTTGTAAAAAACATTTAAACTCAATCAGAGCAAGAGAAACTTTGGATGAGTTGAAATCACAGTAATGGGATGTATAGTACATCTGTTCTGGGGCTAAAAATGGGCAGAAACCTACAAATAGAAACAGTAATTAATGTTGAATTTTGGGGAGAAGTCGCGACAGGAGAACGTTTGACATTGAAGGAGACTGTAAACATCCAGCAGGTGGCAGTAGAGCAACACAACAGCAGAAGTTGTTCAAATGGTCTAGAAAGTCGCGGCAGATTGGCAGCGTTGGAAGAAGCATTCAGGTCATTTAATATGGAAAAAGTACCAACACAGCAATGTGAAAATACTCCAAGACAAGTAATAGTCCTGCATGAGAAATCCTACTTTAGTAAAAGTACAGCAACATGTAGTTAAAGTATTTATTATTAGTAGTGAAGAACAAATATCGCTTCAGCGTTTCTCTAATCTTTGAAGTACTGCAGCACTTTCTATTTCCTTTTTTACTTTCCACTCACAAGTTATGGTTTTAAATGTTTGTTTCATCCAAAGTACTACTTTTTTTTGTCTCAGTGTTTTACAAGGTTTATTCCACCCAAAAAGTACTTCCTCACTCACAAGTTATGTTTTTAAAGTATTGCTCAACCCAAAATACTTTCTCAGAAATGAGTTGTGGTTTTAAAGGTTTTAAAAGTTTATTAAACCCCAGATACTAATTTCTGTCCAGTTTCAAAGGTTTATTCCACTTAAATAGTACTTTATCTAACCAACGAGCTTTAGTTTATATTCAGTTAGGAGTTTTAAAATGAATTCTGCTCAAAGTTTTACCTTTTTTTTGTTGTCAGTGTCTGTGGGCTTAAAAAGCTAGAAAAGTAGGATTTATAGTTTTATAGGTTTACACCACCCAAGTAATACTTTCTATCTAACAAGGTGTGGTTTGAGAGATTCATTCTACCAAACAAACTACTATTTATTGAGGTACTTAGAGTTTTAAAGGTTTATTCCACCCAAAGATACTGTTTTCTAACAAATTAATCATAGTTTTAAAGGTTTCTTCCACCCAAAATACTGCTTTTTGTCCTTACAGGTTGGAATATTTTTTTCAGCCCACTCAGATCGTACTTTCTAACTATCAAGATGTGATTTGAAATGTTTATTCCACTCAGCATACTACTTTCTGTCCAACTACCTTGACTCTTCAAGGTTTATTCCATAGAAATAGTGCTTTCTAACAAACAAGCCATTGCTTTTATTCAGTTCAGTTTTTTATTTTTTTTAAATCGCTGATAGTTTTTAAGTGATTACTCTGTTATCTGCCCCCAAAAAATCCATTCATGAAGAAACAAGCAACAAGCAAGTACAGCCTCCTCCTCCTCCTCTGCTGCAGACATGCTGCTGCTGCTGCTGCCGCCTCCTGGGTGTAATTCCCTCCCGCCGCCTGCAGGGGGCGCCCGCCAACCAGCGTGTCACCACGGTCAGCTGACACACGGCAGCCAATCAGAAGCCGAGGACGGGCTGAACCGCCTTGCAGTGTGAGGTGCCCTGAGAGTTGTCAAGGTTTTGGTTGTGGAGTATCCGAGAGGGGAGCAAGGGCGGCTACGGTTGTACAATGCCGAACAAAACGAAAAAGGACAAGGTGAGTTTGTGAATTCCCACAAGGCTGTTTTGTCACTGAAATAACTTCACTTGAGTTGTATTTTAGCGGGTTTACTGATAAACCGGCCGCGTAAAGTGTACGTTTAGCTCGCAGCGCAGTGTCCCATCACGTTAGCCGAGCAGCACTCACTACCAGCTAGCCGCTATCCTGCCGCCGCCTCGTTCAAACCCGTTATGTTGAGGCGGAACAGGACACCTGGGATGCTTTCGCCTCCCGGGGGAACGTGTGTGTCCCTCCGGTGTGAATTTACAGACTTTTCGTAGCCGAAATCCCGGTTCGTGTGAATGACTGTGGAGTCACGTTAGCTAGCTAACAGCAGACTTACCAGTGTGTTCAAACAGGAGACTGGGTGGGCAGGCAAGGCAGGCTATATTTAGCTGGGATTTGTGCAGGGCGGCACACACACACACACACACACACACACACACACACTCTGATTGACTGCTCACCAATGTTGCTGCAAATCTGCTCACAACTGAGTTATTAAACTTTTTCTTGCAGGAGTCTGTTAAGTCTGGCAAAGTGGCAAAGAGTGGAGCACAGGAGAATTCAGAGCATGAGGTAGGCTGACCCTCCCAAACACTTCTGCAGCTTCAAATGATCCTCACATTGCATTGTCACTGGGTGCAAACAGTCTAGGATATCAGTGAATTGACTTGCAGTGAGAAGGAACATCACGATGATACTCATATGACATGAGATCATGTCCTGGAGCCAGTTAATACACTGAGCATGGTGGAAAACTGCAGCAAAAGTCTTGTGTTCATAGTTCAAACATAAAGCTACCAACTTTTTTACTGCTTTATGCAAGAAGTAAACTTCCTCAGTCCTCTTTTTTCATGACTATGAGAGAAGTTTGCCTGCTTGAACATGATTTACACAGATTTCAGGTTCTTGGATACACAGGTGTTTTCAAACTTTATTTAAAAGATGTGGAGTTTGTTGACGAGCAGGCTCCACATGTGCACAGCAAAACGAGCGAGGGACTGGAGAGCTGCAAAATTATGTGCAATGTCATATTTTAGCTTTAGATTGCATGTAGGTCTGACTTTTGTGCTCATCAAACAAACCTTGTGGTGCAGAATTTAATAGGTTAAAGGAATAAGTCGTGTTTTCTTCTGTTGTGGCAACAGCTACAGGACAGACTAGCGTCTTTGAGCTTTTTGTGCTAATGCACTCCAATACAACACGTCCCCAATCATCCTCGACTGATTGATTCTTTCCAAATGGAGTTATTGAAGTCATCTGGTGCACATTCCTGTACTTTATTCGTATTGCAATATGTATTTCAGAAAACAAGAATATTGTTTTCTACAGTATTGTGCAGCCTTTTTTGTTGTAGGTTCAGGGTTATTTGTCTCGTGTCAATCACAGTTTATTAAGCACAGGCTGTCAAAAGCTGGAACGCCTGATCAGAACAATGCAATGCACCTGAGTAACTGAGTAACACCCACAAGCTGAGGCGTCTGTCTTGTGTTGTTTCTGAGGACTTGTATACTTCTCGTGTAATAAAGCAGGTTCAGAGGACAGGAACCCTCCTGTGGACTGGAACGACAAGAGCTTCGTTGATTTCGGGTTTTGTGGTTCTTTGAATGTATTTGTGACGTCAGAGCTCGACTTTGTCCACCTTTGGGACATAAAAATGTTCAGGCTTTGCTCAGATACGATCACTGAGTCAGATTCAGTCCATGATGAGCCACAACATTAAAACCACCTTCCTGTTGTGTTGGTCAGGCTTTGTGCTGCCACCGGAGCATGAACATGTGAATCTCTCGGGGTGTGTTTGTGTTGTGGTTTGTGTCACTGGTGGCGTGTTTCCCAGCAGAACGTCGTGCTGTAACTAAATGATCGGTGTCGCTCACCTCACCTCTCAGCGGTTTTAATGTTGGGGCGGATTGGGCGACGTCTTGAGTTCTGACCTTGTGTTGTGAGAGAAAAATTGCAGGTTTAGACGTTGGATGTCCGTTTTTGTTTGGGTGAGAAGCCAGTGGTGCAGAGCTGCTATTAGGAAAATATTGACTGACCTCTAAATCAGAGTCGAAAGAATATAAATGCACTGTGCTGTGGAGCGTTCACTGACACCTACTGGGTCGCTGCTGTTGGTTTCTAACTTTATAGCAACGTGTGGATGACATCTGGAGAACTGTCCGATCAGCTGAGTTGGTCTCCGGTTTGGGTTGTCGACTCGTCATCCTAAACTTCAAAAAGAAAAAGCTTTCAGATAAAACGTGCAGTTTAGAGAAAACCTTTCTGTGCAACATGTTGGTGCTGAACAGAACTGATGGCAGCATATGACTTAGAGGTGTAACACTAATTGTGTGCAAATTAATTATTATAAAACTGTTTTGGTAACCGTTGGTTTGAGAACATTTTTAAGAAAACAACCAAATTCTCTTGTTCCAGCTTCCTAGATTTAAACTATTTCTTATTTTTTTTTCTTTCTCTGACAGTCAGCTGACTGTCTTTGAGTTCTGGCCAGAACAAGACACTGTCAGACATCCTCTTGGGCTTTTGTTTACACTGATAGTGGTTAGTTGCAGCCCTGATAAGCCTGATGTCCACAAAGCACTTGTCTTTAAAGCACCAGTTGATGTAACCTGTCATGGTTTACACATAGGAACACGTTGTGACTTGCGGCAGGCTTACATGTGGACCTTTTGCCCTCTTTACAAACTATAAAACACTGTTGGACCTGCTGCTGCTGCTGCACAGGCGTCTGGTGTGAATCATCACGTCGCGTTGCTGCAGGACCGTGTCTTGTGTTGGATGTGAGGCCGCTCAGTGGGACCAGGTGCACAGCGGGGTTCAGGCAGCGTTCTCGTATGATTTCCAAGATAAATGCACCTGCTAGCAGATTCAAGGCAAACTTCTTCTTCACCACATCTGAACATCATGGAAGGATATAATGACTTCCTTCATTCTTCAGAGAACCGAAGGCTTTCCTTTGTCAAACATCTCGATGCACTCGTGTCAGGTGTGACAGCTGGCAGCTGTTTGTCGTCTTCTTTTCTAGACTGTAATATTCACATTGTGAGCGCCTCTAAGCACACGTTTGCATTTCGCTGGCTGCCGTTATCCACAGTCCAGTTTGTAGAAATGCTCGCTTGTCAGTTATAAAGCTTAAAGAAGCTGTCTGCCGTCTATTTTAGGATCCATTTAGAAATGAAACTGCGCATGTTTTATTTAAGCGACCTGCCTGCGACGTGTAATCTTTGCTTTAACTCCAGTTAGTTATAAAGAATTTAGATACCTGATCCTCCCCCGCTGACCCACTGAATTCATTTTTTCTCGAGCTGGTGCTTTCGCCCGCCCGCCCGCCGGTTAATAATCCTGCGTGTTGTTGTGAGTCAGCTGCCATGTTGCAGATCTGCTAATGCACCAACCTTGAGTTAAATTAAAGTTGCTGAGCTGCGAGCTGTTGTAATCATTCCCCACCCTTCCTTTTGTTTCATAGACTCAGAAGAGCTTCAGAGGAAACGGTATGTATGCAGCATGTAGGAAGGCTCTGCTCGCTGTGTGAAGAGGGGAAGCATTTAATTAGAGGATGACAGATGTTTCTACTTTGGATTCATCAACACAACAAGTGGAACGTTATTCCCCTAAACCCCCAAATCTGCTGCTGGGTTTAAAGTGCATATTATCCCAAAAATCTCCAAAAGATTCCTCCACTTATCAGAGCCAGAAGGATTGTTGGTTTTCAGCGTTCTGACGGTTCTTGAGCTGCTCATCTGTGGTGTTCTCCTCCTTTAGAAACCTTTAAGCTTAAGAGCATGACGTTTCATCCTCAATGCTTTATTCTATGTGTCTTTTTTCTTTTTTTTAAAAAGGCCAAATGTAAACAATTTTATGGAACCAGATTCTTTAGAAAACAAAAATTCTGCACTCCTCACTGCAACTGTGAAGTCTTCAGTGATTCAGAGCAACAGATGCACGACAAAAACTGTGATGCTCTACTGAACTGCAGGCAGTGTTTGCACAGAGCAGAGAGGAGGCATGTGTGGAGGCAAGTGAGAAATTTAAAATATCTGTAGTATGTAGAGCCCCCGTTTAAAATATAGATATAATAGCAGCACCTGTAGGCATTTGGAAAAAGGTGGTCCATGCTGATTCCTGCTTCTTTCAGTTTTTGTAAACAAACAAGGAAGAAGTTCATCTTGTTTTTGTCTGATTTAAGGCATCGTAACTGTTCCACTCTGCACAGAAGTCGTTCTCAGCCGGTTGTACTTCTGGACACGGTGGTGCTGTTTGTGTAAAAATAAGCCCACAGTGAGTAAAGATGTGACAAAAAAGGTCCGGAAACAGCTCAGAGTGATCAACATGAAAGCACACTAAGAAAAGTGAACAAGATGTAAAGTCAGTACATAGCTGTGGTAAATATTGATCAGATCATCACTGTGGCTCTCGTCGTGCCGCCCTCTGCACTAATGTGTGATCCAGTTTGTGCCGGAGGCCGGCTCCGTTTTACTTTCCACTTTAATCGACAGCTTTCTAGTGGCGCAGGCTAAGCTCCTGTGTTGTCGCGCTGCACAGACTGTGTCCAACTTTAGCTGGGTCTTAAATGAATTTGATAAATCCCCTGTGACTCAGACTGACACAGCTCCACAGCTGCATCTGGTGGACTAAGCTCTGTGCCATCAGGTGTGTGCTGATGAATGGGAGCTAGCAGGCAGGCAGGCAGCCGGGGACAGCTGCGTGGAACTCGCTGCGTTCAGGTGATCCCACATCAGGATTCGATCCAAGCCCACAAATCGTCTGTTGGATCTGCAGCCGCTCGTCTTGATGAATGGAAACCATAATGGTTTGTGTTTTTCCATGTGAACTTTATGAGTTCCTCATTTCGTGTCCTATTGTAAACAGCGTCTGTACATTGGGTAAACTGTGGTTTATGACTGCCGTTACATAACGCGGGACTCGAGCTGCGTGTGTGAATGGTAGCGTAGCGTATATAATTAAATGTACCTCGCCGGTGCGTTGCAGTCGAGCTGCTCGGCTAGTGGCTACAAGTTTTATGAGATTCCTAAAGAGGTGCTTGCACTCTCCTTCACACCCGGTGCGCCTCCGTTTAGCATGCGCTCGCTCTTCACCTTGGTGCAACTAATGTGGGTTTTTTTTCTCGTTTCAGCAGAGCTCGAACAGGAAGGCCAGCAACAGTGCTCCTCCCACCACCCAGCTGCTAAAGGGGAAGCAGCCAGGTTCGCAGACACCTGTCAAAAAAGACAAGAGGCAGAGCTCCTCTCGCTTCAGCTTGAGCAACAACAGGGAGCTGCAGAAACTGCCTGCTTTTAAAGGTATTTACCTGAACGACAAGCCGAGATCCCTTCACCTAATCACTTAATGAACTAACTACACAGTGCTCCTGATAGTGGAGCTGTTCCATATATATAGATCTATGGAATATATATACACAGGGTATTTGCTGGCTCAGACAGAGCACTGGGGGCTGAGACGCAGTAGATTGATCTGCACAGCAAGGCAGAGAGTCTGTGCTGCCTTATTTGACAGAAATCTTGCAGTTGCCTGTTATTTCTGTCTAGATGAAATCCCAAATAACAGAACCGTGTCCGTCAAGTGGGCTACGATCTGTTTGTTGGTGCCCAAAATTCCTCCCTGCTGCAAAGTTTTGCAAATGGTGGAGAAACTGTTGAAGAACTGCAAAAATAAAAAACCTTAAAATGTTTTGACGCCTGAATTCAACACTTGAATTATCCAAACATAGGGAACAATTTTCTTGGAGGCAGGTGGGGGATAAATACACGGGCTTCCTGTTTGTTTTAAGCATGTAAGAAATCCCTGTCATCTCCACACAGATAAATGCCGGCCTCACAAACCTGCACTCTAGCGCACACGCACTCGGTTATTTACTGCCTCTTTTTTCCCACCAAAACGCCCATCCCTTGCTGCATCACCCCTCGTTTTAATACCAAGCCGAGCATGACATTACGCAATACAGGGAAACAAACAGAGGACATACATGGCATGGATTTTGTGCTGGATTTAACCCAGGCGTCTATATTTAGTGGTAATCCAGAGATAAAGCTTTAATTCCATGGTCCTTGTGTTTCACAATGTTGCCAGTGACCAGATAAGAAATGTCGGGCAGCCTCGCTGCTTCTCCTTCTCCTTCGTCTCCTGCTGATCCACACTGATGCATATTGATATTGACGTTAATGTCTAAACTCGGCGCTGGTTTAATACTTGATGGAAAAGGAAGGAGTGGACGCTGCTGTGGGGCCTCTGGGCGTTTGTCTGTGCATGTTTGTGTGAAGGCATGCATGAATACACACAACGATTATGTCCCCTGCCTTATCCCAGTACTTAAAATAATTAAAATTAATTATCTAACTTGTACTGAAAACAAACGGTTAGGTTGGTATTGCAGGCTGTTCAGTAAACATTAAAAAAAGATGTTTTTACAGCAACATTGGCAACACAAGCTAGTTTCTCTGAGGATCGCAGCAACGTGTCCAAGACAGCGTTCTCAGAAACTCCTATAATAGCAAAAGCAAGGTCCCCAGATAACTATTCATTTTAATAAGTGAAACAAAGTCGGGACATTGGAGACGAGCCGTACAGCTTCAGAGGGAGCAGTTAGAGTTATACGTCTCTTCCCAAGGACAGATATTTCCTGGACTGTTAAATTATTTACAGTTGATGCAGCAGCAGGGACAAATTTATGGCAGTATTATAACTTGAGCTGTGGTGAATGTAATCTCGCTTATTCATGGAGTCAACATCTTGCACGAAGGCGTCCGTGCATGGAGGGACAGCCACGAGAACTTCTGGATTTGGTTGCGCTGGTGCATAGAAGGTTCTCACTTAGATGCAACAACATTGTTTCTACACAGACAATGCACAAGTGTTACCGTTTTTGTTTTCCTTTTTTAACACATGATGTAAACTGTTTTAAACAGAAGTAAGGGTGCAGATAAATGTTTGTTGTTTGTCATTAGGATAATCTGGGACTGACAGTTAGCAGAGGAAGGCTCTTCTTTTGATATATGATGACAGAAATACATTTTCTTATCATTTCTGACTCCTCACTGCTTCAGTCTGCTGCTGCTCTGCCGGCTGCACAGCTGCTCCTTAGCGACATTATGGCTTTTTAAATCCTCAACATTGACACTCTGACTGCACATGATCACTGATAGCTTTTTCAGCGTTTTGCACAAGTTGAGACTTTTCTTTTGGTGGTGCTGTGTGACCAGTGCATGCATAAAACTTGCAGTTTAGAGGATGGCCATGTGACCCGCTGTGTTTTTGAAGCTTCAGTTTGCAGATGCACCCCAGGCACCTCACATGCAGACTCTCGATAGGCTCTACAATTCGCCGTTGTTACCCAAACGCCTCGCATTCATCTGTAGATGCCAGCTCGTCTGCTGCACACGGAGAAGCCTCTAGTCTCCACTCCTGCAGAGAAGCAGCTCAGACGGCTGTGTGACCAAAGTTGGGTGTTCTAATGTCAGACTGAACGTAGCTGAAACCGAGTGATTTTTACCTAACGCCCACAGACACACTCAGACAGAGCTGCTAAATGTCAGATGTGCTGCTAAACCAATGCAATACACACAGTGAAGGCATTTTCCTGAACACTTAATGTTGTGTCCTGTGTGTTATGAAAGTCATGAAATCTGTTTAGAGCGGACTTTTCTCAAAACAGCCTGTTGTGGTAGCCTCTATAATAAAGCTCTAGCCCTGATTGAGTTTGTAGAAAAGTGCTTTTGTTGTCTTTCTGGCTCTGTAGCGACTGAACGTCTGACTTTCTGTGAGCACTTCGCTGCCACACACCAGAGCAAAGGCAGCATTCCTCCTCTGAGAGAGTTCACAAGTGCTGCTTCTCTCTGGGAAGGACCCGGCTAATGGAACAAAGTTGACTCGGTCTGGCTGTTGTGTTGCTGTGCACCGTTTATTCTCCATTCAGTCCTTCTGCAAGATTAAAATGAATGGATACACAAAGACACTGTCGTAAAAACGCCTGCATCTTTATCTGAGTTAGCCGTTGCCCTTCTGCTGTGTCAAGAAACCAATAAGTGCATTTCCGATAAAGCGTGCTCACTTCCCACACCCCAATGAGCGCTTTGATAACATTTTGCCAAACATTATCCCACAGCGGCCCAGTAGATGTTATCACTTAGTCGTGTCCAAACAGGCTCCTCGCTTGGCCTGTTTTCATTCCAGGCATGTTCGCCACCTCCCGATGGAAACACATGTCCGTGAGTCTGTCCTGCAGAGCTGCAAAGTTGAGGCCAGACTGCAAACCCTGACCAGAAGCGAGCCTTTCCCGTGAACTCACCCCAAATCCACGAGCGCTCTTTGTGATCGTAGAGTGCATTTGATCTGTTGAACACCGGTTTGTTTCCTCCTGCAGGAGACCAGGTGTTCTCAGCTTCTGTTCTAAGTTTTATAAGGTTTTAACAGAATGCAAACATCCAGGCATTTGTACATTTATGCGTAAATTGTTTGCTCGAGATCAGCGTGACTGTGAGATAAATGCTCGCTACACGTGCCGGTTTCTTTGTCTTCTCGTTTCAGGTGTGGCGTGCCAGAAAGCACAGAACAACAACAGTTGTTGCCTCTGTATGGGTTCTCCTTTAAAGCAGGCGCTGTCCTGCATGGAGCGTCTGTCTGGCAGCGTCTGTCGCCACCTGCTGGTTAACGGTGGCCAGCTGGAACATTTTTCTAGATTAAACAGAAACATATCATAACCCGAGTCATAGACTGTAGCAGTAACCAAACAGCAAAACCAGATGGGAGGTAAAAATCTTTGTTTAATCACACAGTGTCGTTTAAAAGGCACTGAGCCGTACAGTCTGTTGGAAGGTTTTAATGGGAGGATGTTTCCCTTTTTCACTATAAAACGCGACCGTCTGAAGAGCTCAGACAGATTTGTACTCAATCTTAAACCGAACTAGAATTAAGATAGACATCTAAGTTCATTTGTCACAGAAGATGGTTTAGTTTTTGACCCATTTTTCTGTAAATTCTTTCTTCTTCTTCTTTTTAAGCTGAAAAACCACAAGATAAGATAATTCTTTATTGATCCGCATAGGCACTGCAGCAGCACCGTGGCACACAGAGAATACAGCAGCGATGGCCTCACTGTCCTTGGACATGAAGGCCCTCTTCTGGATGTGAAGAAGGCTTTCAGTCTCCTTATTATCCATGCCTCCCACACTTGTTGTTCGCGGTGACAGAAAAGTTGTTTTCTGCAAAAAGTTTCTGTCATGTTGATATAAAAACATGACACAGGATGCACACTAAGAATATTTGAAAGGGGAAAAAAAACAAACTAAAATGAGCTCACACACCACAGGAAGAGCTTAAAAACGCTGCAGAATCTTGATTATGTTGTGGCAGCGGTGCAAGCCAACGTCTGGGATATGTTGGACAGCAGCTGAACAGTTGGAGAGAAACAGGCAGGTGTACAATCTGAGCCAGGCTTCTCCAGCACAGAGGAGCTTCTGGCCGCCACCAGAGATGTTTCAGCCAGCACCAAAGGAAAGTCACTAGCGTCAAAATGATAAAAACAGAGAATAAAAATAGCGTTTTCTTAATATGGGTTTCATCTACTCAAGAATTGCAGATATTCTTGAGTATTTAGTGGCCAGAATAACAGGAAGATGCACAGATTTCTGTCAGGTGTGCTAGCCCAGAGTCGTTGCCTTTGCGGTTTGTGGACTGCTCATGTTTACTGTCATGCGCTGTCAGCCCAGAGGCTCATTCTGAGGCAGGATTAACGCCGCGAGCGACGCTGACAAGGACCAAATTGCTACAAGCAGACAACTGGATGGGAGCGTCTCCGGGCTTGTGGGGTGATCCCGTTCTGCAGTAGTAAACACTGACAAACACGGACCGGCGACAGGGGGATGGGGAATGTGCTGGAACAAGTCTGACGCACGACGGTTGCAGAACTTAGAGAACTGAAAGGACCTGCCGCTGACATCTGGGCGCCACATACCACAGGGCTCCTTCACAGGTCCTGCAGAGTCCAGGCCTCAGCGGGTCAGGGCTGTTTTGGCGGCACGTGAAGAACAAACGGCATGTTGGCGAGAGGTTCTCCTAATGTTTTAGCCCGTCAGTGTTCGGTCATCTCTGTTTTTGTGAGGATGGACAGCGGATAGAGGCGTTTATGAGGTCAACGGGCATGTTTTTAACGCTGGTACTAACAGCAGAGCAGGAACAGGCGGACAGCAGTGACAGGAGCTTTCCGTCTCAAATCATCCGGACACTTCTGCTCCACCAGCCCTGATTTGCTTGAAACTTTTTAATCATAAACTATAAATTTTTAAAA